TAAAATTTATAGCTATTAAACGTAGTTTATTACATAATCTAAAACCGATGATCTCATTTATGAAAACAAAATATTTTAGTGATAGTTATCATATTTTAAAATAAATGATTTTATGTTATAAATCAAGTAAAATCTATAAAAGATCATTGTAGTTTAATTGAATCAATCACGATAAAGTTTTGAGATAAGAAAAAAATGTGTTTTTATTATAAAATATATCATGTAATTTTGCGGTTAATGACCCGCCGGCTACCCACCGACTACCCATCTGCCAGCCATCCAAATTTAATGGGTGACAATAATGATGACTTACACCCACCCACCACATTCACCCAAACATGTAATAGATGGGTTATAATCGGGTGGATTCGGATGGTTCTAGCGGTTGACCCACCCATTGCTCATTCCTATTGAAACCTATCTTCATGGAACTCGTATCAACTTTTTTTTAATAATAATTCATATAAATTTTGAGTACAATGTGAGATCCTTAAATTCTAACTAATGTTAGAGTCTGCAGAGGAACAAAAATCACATGTGAATAATTGACACCGCTTGCATCCAACTAGTTATAGGTTAAAAAATATTATCATGTTGCGATGTCCATACCAAAAAACATTACATCGTACCCCAATTCCGACACACACTTTCTCAAGGGTAAGTGTATTCAAAACTTTTAAAACGGATTTGCATCCACCAAACAGTTTCAAACTGGCTTGGCTAATGTGAGATCTAGATGAACAACTCACCATAACCAATCATAAATTAAGTCGAAGTTCACGATGCTTGAAAACCGTATCATACCCGCGGTTTAATCAGAAAAACTTTTAAAGAACGCTAAACCGATAAGCGCTATTTAGCAATATAAAAAATTGAACCATTATGTTTGGCTAGGGGTGCAAAGGGAGGGAGGTGCAAGTTTTGGGGGTAAATGTCATTCCCAATGCATTTACCCCCATTTGGTTAATTTGCAATAGTGCAAGGGGGAGCAAATGGGGGGTTAAATCACTATTCCCCTTAACCCCCCAATTTGGGGTGCAAGAAGAGAGAGAAAAGAAGGAAGAAGAGGTTAGTGTATAAGATTAATTTTAAAATTATTATAATATGTTTTATTATATTCAAATAATTATATTTTGAATAAAAATATGTAATTATTATTAAGATAGCAAGAAATACTACAATTACTATTGAATCATAAATCATATTTTTTATTGATTTTTATTATCGTAGTTATTATTAATATAAAATTTGTCTGTGAATAGCAAGTTTGTCAAATTGTTCCAATTTTTGAATGTGTTTGACGAAGTGTGACTCAAATTTATGTTTCAAAGTATTGAGAAGAAGTGTCGTGGAAAAAGTAGAATGAGAAAATGTTTGGTTGACTCAGGTCAATTCGGTTGACTAAATTTCGTTGAAAACTATACAGAAGAAGTATCGTGTAAATATTGAAATAAAATGGATCGATAACATTTGGAGAGGACCAAATAGGACTGAATGTAGTGGTGGTCAATCATTGGTCCTAAGGTTCATCTAGTCAAATCGAGATCACCATATCGACAAACAACGCTCGAGTGTGAGATATGAGCTATTTGATAGTTATATGCCTTGACCATAGGTTGGGCTTCGTGCTTTGAGATTGCTCGATCAATGATTATTACCTTAAATTACTATTAAAGCATTATTGGCTTAATAATTATTTTTATTAAATTATATTTGTTAATATTTATTATTATTATAAATTATTTTTTTATTTTTTTATTTGTGATCATCTTTTATAATTTTAATACATCCTTTTTATAATAATAATATTATAATTTTATTACTTTTCACTATATTTGTACACGTACTTTTTCATCCAAACAACAATTTACTCATCCACTTACATCCTCCACCAATTTGCACCTTCTTATAATTTACCTATCAACTTACACCCCTCGAATTTCCAAACATAGTGAATACAACTTCACCTACCAAAGCAGCTGAGAAAGATGAGAAGAAGGAAGGTTCAAAATCAAATCAAAATTTTTAAAACACAAACAAACAGCTGCTTGTTGTCCCCTCACCCCCACACTTTGTTATTGATTTGAAAGGCAGCAGCTGATGCCCACATGATGCAAGCAAACCCTAAACCCTAGAAACAAACCCACACACAGAGAGAAAGACAAATTGGAATCCTTTCCCCTCTTCCCAAAGTTTCCCTCTTTTTTCATTTATTCATTCACATTTACCAATGGGAAAGAAAAGAATCAATGAAAAGAACAAAAAGTGAATCATTATAAGCAAACAATTAAGTACTATGTAACAAATCAACATCATCATCATTACCAATTTCCCATCATAATTTCCTCCATCCCATCCCATGCAGTTACTACTACTTTCTTCTTGATGTGACTGTCACACAAAAAGTCAAACACACACCATTGACATTACCAACTCTCAACAAGATCAAGAACCAAGTTTTTCAACCCTTTTTCCACGACATTAATTGGTCAACTTGGTTCCATCACCTCGTGATCGACCTACTACTGTTTCTTCTTATTGTTCAAATTTAGGGGTAATGATGCCATTGTCTTGGTTGGTGGTGATGATTCCTAATTCAAATTTCATTGTAATGCTTGAAAGCCACCTGTGGCCGGTGTGAATTCAACTCAAGCAGGTAGAAAAAAGTTCATATGTGAAGTTCGTTTCGTTTTTCTGCAAATCCTCGCAGACTAGAGTTGGTTTATGTTTCTAAAGTTTGCACAATTTTGACTGTTTTTATCAATAGTTGACATTGAGGGGTCGTATGGATGAGGGATTTCACCCAAATCTCTCATCCACTGGATTTCAATCAAAATTCTCATTAGAAATTGCTTTGAAAACAAGTCATTTCATAGGTGTTGAGGTTTGGAGACCTTCAAGGTGTCGGATTTCGAAATAACTTGCTCTTTCGACTATTTTGAAATCCCTCATTATCTTCTTTTTCTTCTAATTTTAACCTTCTGATATTTTCTAAAATTTAAAACTACCCTTACTCTCATTGGCGAACACATCGTCTACCTTCCTCGTCTTCCACCAGCGAACAGTCGGGCTTCCCTTTCCGCCTACCAGATCACTGCTAATGGATAGCCATCATCGACGGCAGCTAAGCTTCATCTTCTTACCCCACCCGCCGATCCTATATTTTCAGACTCCCAATCTACTATGGAAAATGTGAACTTTGGCCCAAATATTTATTGGTGAAAGGCTAAGAATGGAGATCCAACAACAAGTGGTTGTATTAGACTACTATCATGACAACAATGATAATTATTTTACCTTAATTTTGACGTAGAGTCTCGTAGTAAGGGAAAAGATTCTAAAATTTTCATTATGAAGGGTATGCTAGCAACCTATGTGTACAGATAAAACAACATTTATTAAGCATATAAAATTGGGAGGGGGGGATTCAAAAATTGAACTCATAGTGACACCAGCCGAACTAGTTGAACAACCTAGTAATTAGGATGGCCTCGTACGTTGGGCTCCCAAACAATAATTAGTGTTTGTTTATGAAAACTTTCATGGGAAAAATCCAAAATCAGCCATTCCTTTCCCATGTTTAGGGCTTATGGCAAATGTTTGTCCTTCACAATAATTGAGGAAGGAGGATTGGGGAACCATAATTAACATTTAACAACAACCAAATTAGTTAAGAAGCATAATAATTAGGAGAATGAGTTGTTTTGCAAGCTAAGTAACTACAAGGAAACACCATCATCATTCACCTTCCCAAAATCTCAGAAACCGAGTAGGGAAGAGCGTGCAAATTTCACGAATTTGATGAACTATGGATATTGATATCGTCGTTGGATTGATACTCTTAATACTCTTTTACATTTATGAAGGTTAAATAAAGATAGTAACATTTTCTTTTAAACATCGTCAACGATAAATGAGACAATTCTAAGATATCAACTTCTTGGTATGCCAATCCTTATCGGCATGGTACCGAATTGGGATTTTCAGTGTGATCACATGCAACACATTCCTTAGCTTAGCTTTGCATTGCTCCAAGACAAAACCGGTTTTTGCAAAAAACCCATAGAAGGAGGAGGGGATAGAGATGGAGATTGGTGAGCAAAAATTGGGGTGGGCACATGGGCTGGGCGGGCGCAGCATCAATGATTTTATTTTATTTTTGCTTCAGTCACCTCATCTATCTATTTTTGTTTCTGTTTTTGTTTTTGGAATCCAATTGCCCTCTCTACTTGATACATCATACTCAATATGGACTTGGCCTTACATATACATCATAGTGTGCAAATTTTGAAACCCACATCAATCCAAAGGTTTCCCTCCATTTTTGTGTATAAAAGGTATCAAGCAATAATCAAGCATCTCACATGGTTAATGGTACTACAATAGTGTAGTAACTATTCAACAATTTCAAGGTATTAGGTTTGAGTCGTAAATAGATGGTATGCTGATTTTTCTTGAATTTTTTTTTTCCAGAAATACCACTGTGTAAAAAAAATTACAAAAATATCACCTAACCCAGAAAAATTTCAAATATACCACCATTATATGAAAACCTCCACGTGGGGAGGCGATTTTAGAGAGTATCGCATAGTGGAGTGGCGGTTTAAATTATTTAAAAAAACCGCCACATGAAGCGACAGTTTAATGGCTGACCTAGAAAAAAAACGCCTGTTGACGGAGCGGTTCTACGTAAACAATAGAAACAGCTCCTTCAATAGACGGTTTGTCTTGTCGACACACAAACCGCACATCTCCCAACGATTTGTGTGTCGTCCCCATTCTCCCGACATCCGACATGTCGGCATGCAGAGGTTGTAGACGTGGGGGTTGCATGCCAGATGAAAACCACACCCTTCCCTTGCGGTTTTTAGTGGTCATTTTGCTATAAAAGACAGCCCCAAAAACCTCAACTCTTCACCCTTCTCCTTATTCTTCTTCAAATTTCTTTTGTGTAGCCTACTTTATTTGAGTTTTTGCGATTAACGTTACTTAGCAAGTTTGTTTTGTATTACTTTTTATTGTGATTTGTGATTTTTATGGTATTAAGTATTAACTGAGTTACGATTTTAATGCAGATGACATTTCACAAAACTCGCTCCCTCCAGCCACGGTTTGCGTTTTCCAAGACGAGAAACCACCCCCTCCACCTGCGGCTCTTGATCCCTGACGCAGATCGTTGACATGGCGCGCGGTCCGTACTTGGATTGCTCAGTGATCCGACGGTTCTAAAGACAACTGCTTCCCTCGGCGGTTTGTTGGCTGTCCTAGCAAAAACCGCACCCTCCTGCCAACCACGATTTGCGTTTTCCAAGACGAGAAACCACCCCCTCCACCAACGGTTCTTGATCCCTGATGCAGATCGTTAACATGGCACGCTGCCGCCCTTGGATCGCTCCGTGATCTGACGGTTCTAAAGACAGCCGCTTTCCTAGGCAATTTGTTGGTTGTCCTAGCAAAAACCGCTCCCTCACGACGCATTTCTTTTGTGATTTGTAGGATACAGCTCCAACATTAATGGTGATATTTATGTAGGACTATATTCAATCACTAATCTGGTGACCGTTACAGTTTTCTCCTTTGTTAATCAATCTACCATCACCTCTCTAATGATTAAAAGCCTAATTAACAATTATGTAATAAAATCTCCTTAATTGGGTGCCTCTGCAAATTTCTACCATCTCCTCTGTAACTGTAAAACCTCCTTTTCCCTACCGAAGAAATCCGACGACCGATCAAGCTTCCCCATCACCGCATTCTTGAAATTAATGGCGTCCTGCGCTTGCGAACACGACCTCTGCATCCTCGCCCCGCTCAAACTGCTCCTCGATTCTAGCAACTCGTTCAAAGAAACCCTCTTCTTCCCCGTCCCCGGCCCCGCCGGCGGCTCCGGCCTCTGTTTCGGTGCGCTGTAGGACCTCAATTTCGCCCTGAATGACTGCGTGTTCGCCATGTAGTTTGGGTAGTACCCACCGTACGGCGACCGGAAGAAATTCTCCCCGCCGCAGATGCTCTTCGCCGGGGTCAACGGCGCAGGCGCGTTGACTCCCCCGTCTCCGCCGCAGCACCCTCCAACGCCGCCTTGCCCCGGCGTCAGAAACCGAGGAGTGCTGTGCGCCGTGGAGAATCTGCACTCGTCGCCGGTGAATCCCCAGTCGGAAGAAGGGTAGTCGTTGTGGAAGTACCGGTGATCGGGGATCGACAGCCGGGGAGGGTAGTGCACAATCATCGGCGGCGGAGGGTCTTCACCGAAATCGGAAACAGAGGAACCCGTGTTTGTAGTTGTACCTCGTCGAGATCTGGACCTGGGCCTGCTCCCTGTATCCATCTCCACGATCTTCGGCGTATCGTCGGCGACAGCCAGATTGCTGGCGCCGTCAAATATCACTCCGCTGTCTAGCGGAGCAGAGAGCCTCCGACTATGGTGGGTTGACGCCGTATGATCAATTCTCATCTCGTCAAATCTCTCCTGAAAGAACAAACAACCCAATTAATTGAATTAACTTGAAAAATCTCTTCTATGTATGAGAAATTTGCGACATTTTAGCTTTACCATTGATTTCCGAGCTCGAATTTCTAATCGATTCCGAGCAGCTACTCTCTGAGACCTAACAGCGGCTTGAGCCCTGATCAACGCTTGCATACTGTGAAGAGTCGCCGCCGCTTGTTTCCTCACTAAAAAACCTCTCACATGGGCCTGTAATTTCACCAATCCTTTCAAAGCTCTCAAAGCCTTCCTCGCCTGCAAAACCCCCCCAAATAAAAACAGAGCTTCACAACCGTGAGTAAATTTTTTTTATAAAAAAAAAACAGAGGTTTAGGCAAATTCGTTCTAACAGAGCATGATCAATGGCACTCACCAAATAACCTCTGAAAACGGTTTGAATCCTGACAGCAGCCCATCGTTCGTGGCTGCCACCGCCGAACATCGTTCCCCTTCCGTGGCTAGTGAGCCTGACGACTGCCACGGCCGCCTGAGCAGCAGCCACCGCAGCATCCGCTGCCGCAGCGGTGGCGGCAGCAACCGCAATGGCGTGCTTGCTCTGCTCCTTCTCCGTCTGGGAGTAATAAGACTTCAACCAAGCAGCTTCCGCCGGAGAAATGTTAGGCGGGGTGGTTGCCGGGTTTCGACACAACGACTCGCCGGAATCCCTACCCGAATGCCCGAATCCGCCGCACATCCATGTCCGCTTCTCTTTCCCCTCACTGGCGGTTGGTTTTATCCCAAACAAGCTCTTGATCCACCTAGCAGCTTTACCCATCTTATTTTGTCTCTCCTAGTTCTTGCCCCTTTGTAAGAACAGGGGGAGAGCCAGAGGGAAAGGAGAAGCAGAGAGAAAGAGAGAATGAAGGCAGAGAACCCAGAAAGAAAGTGGGTTACTTACACGGAGAGGGGAAAAGGGTCAAAAAAGGAACCACCATGAAAGCGGGAGAGGAAAAAGGGAAGCCGTTTTGGGGGGTTGGAAAGAACGAAGCAGAGGATGGTTAGAATAGCTTTTGTAACAGCTGACCTGAGAGAAGGGGGAAAAGCGGCAATGGGTTTTTGAAAAGACGAAAGGGGAACACTGAACATAATAAAGAAAGGATTTTGTAAGGAGAGGGGGAAGAGTGAAATCTGAAGGGAAGGGGACAAAAAAAAAAAAAAACAGGGGACTGACTCTGTGGAGATGCAGAGGTTATGGACTTATGGTATTTAATAACGGAAAGTTTGAAACTTTAGGATGGAAAGGAAAGGAAAGGAAAGGAAGGAGTTACTGTGGCTGTGTTAGGGAGGAGAGAAGAGATGGAGGAGCCAGCCAACCCCACGGCCAGGCCACGAGAGGCCGAGGTAAAGCTAAGGAAGAAGACCGTGTAACTAGAAGGACTGCATGAGTATATAAGTATAAAGTATCAATTATTTATGTAACAATAACACGAAGAATCAGATTCCCTAAAGATGGCCGGAGGTGAAGAGAGAAAAGAACAAATGAATTGTAAATTGTAAATTGTTAATGGTGGTTTACCTTGGTAGTGACAATTTTAAACTGATTCATAATATTTGATTTGCTCTGATATATTTTGAGTGGAAATGTGTATTGTTTCTGATATGTCTTGTCCTATCTTGTTCTCGATTTGTTCTATCATGATTTGTACCAATATTTATATGTATTTTTCTTTTTTAATCTTTATAAAACTATATTTTAATTCTAAAGAAATTTAAAGACCATTTCTTTCAATTATTTAGTCTTAATTAATCATTATATTGTATTTCTCATTGATTTGCGAAATGTTTTCTCTAGCTATTCTTGCACAATATATTATAAGTGAGACATACATGAACCTTTATCATATATCTATGTTAGATTTGCTTCTCCCTCCAATCTGCTATTTGCAATGATGATCCAATATGAACGAGAGAACCAACAAGAGGATACTAATTAGTCTGGCTATCTATTATGATTGTTTTTGTTTTTCCAAGTTTATTTTCTTTTAACAGATAAATGATTGGTTCGAATAAATAAATATATATGTCGCATATTTAAATGGTTGATTCTATGCCATGTCAGTAAAATAATTTGAGTTATAGGTATAATATGTCCCTATATTATGTATTTTTTTTTTCAAACATTCCATTCTACTACTATATTTAACATCATACATAACCCCGTACTTTAGAAAAATTATCAAACATACTCTTCAGTTAAGATTTCCATCCAACAATCTTCAACCACAGTCGAACCGTGGTTAGGACGACACGACCTCGACAAAAATGCAAGGGGAAATGTCATTTTTACCCCTCCATTTAATTTTTTAGGTCTCTATGTAAAATTGTCAGGGGTAATGAGCTACGCAATGAATGAGCTACGCAATGAAAAAAATATTAAAGTGACATTATTAAGAGTATTAGGGACATAATAGAGGGGATATATTATACATATAACTCAAATAATTTCATGTGGATAATAATTTCATCATAGTAGGATCAAACCAATGTTTGATCAATTAAAAAGTTAACGGTTTTATTATTATTATTTTTGAAAATTTTAAATAAAATATCTAATTATTATATTATTTTAATAAAAGAAAAAGCAAGAAAACAATGACTTCCGTTAGCCAACCCGGAGTCTGTTATTGCCAAGGTTGTCAAACCGGTTTAAGTCATTGAGCCGCTCAAACAAGTGGTTTGAGGTTTAATGTTCTGATTGGGGTCCGACCGGTTTGAGCCGTTTTAGATGTTTTCTAAATATATATACAAATAAGGTAGTAATTAAAGATTTGATGACTGAAAATAAAATTTATCTTGCATATATCTATTAAAAACTTATTTTCCACAAAATAAATCTACCTAACCTTCATGATCCAATCACCATTTCCCTTCCTTCATTCATCTCCCCTCTTCCCCCTCTCTTCTTCTCCCTCTTTAGGGGTCAGACCAGTGGGCTTTCTGGACGCCGTTTTGATGCTCGACTCGGGTTGGACCGGGTCCAACCGGGGTTCGTTAGGGGGTGCGGATAGTATAACAACACCTTAAGTGTTGTTACCGTAACAACAAATCTAACTCAGGGTAAAAGAGTAAATGAACAAATTACAGAAAAAGAAAATTGAATTACAACTCAAAAAGCGACGGATAGAAACTCTCGACTCTGCTCTCCCACTCTCTGCCTCCTCTGACCTAGAAGACCTCCGACTCCATCCATCCCTAGCCTCCGTCGAAGCTTTGTCCTTCACAACAACTGCAACAGTGTCGGCGACACAAAATCGAGTTCCTCGGGGTCGACCAGCCTCCAACCTCACCGACGTTGCGACACTCTTCCATGCCAGATATCGTCACTCTTCACTTTCTGTTCTCGATTCTTCTTCATCGACGGCTAATCAAGATGGTGGTGGAGAGGGTGGTGTTCTTCGGAGGTCGAATCCTGGCACTCTGCAATGCAGATCCCGTTTCTCCTCCGCTGCCTCGCTTCTTTTGTTGCTGGTTGTTCTTCATCAACGAGAAATCAAGATGGTGCTGAGAAGGCGGTGGTTGTTGGAGCCAGTCTGGTCAACCTACTTCCATTCTCGTCAGAAAATTTAGTTTCTCTAATTGAGCGTGTTGGAGTCGGTCGGGAGTCGACAGAGGTTTTGATGGATAGAGGGTTGAATGCATGTGGCCCTCACATAAACGAAATCTTTCTGGAAAGATTGGTTTCTGTCTTCTAATCGAATTATGCTTTTGGATCTGCTTTGATTCGTTCTAACCCGTATGGGATGGATGATGGTTAATTTGACTGCTCTGTTGGCTTTAAAAAGAGGTTTAAGGAAGAATTGAATTGGATACGAAAACTCGATGGTGATTTGTGGATGGGAAGAGGGAAATTCGTGAAGATCCAGCTTATGTAAGCAGTGGTTGTGAATGTGAGGCTAGTTTGAAGAGACATGAGATTGATTGTATGACTTTTATTATCAACAGAGTTGGTAGAGTGACTATTGAACTATTTATTAGATGGATTTGAATGAGACTCTAAGTTTTTCTTGTAATTGAATTGCGCTTCTTTATTGAATTCAATTATGGTATTGAATTATCTTTGAGAAAACGACAAATCCCTTAATGACATTTTTGCTCATGTTTCCGAACTTTTGAATACTTATTGTTCACAAACAATACTAGAAACCTCTTAATGCAGACCACAAAAACTATAAAGCAAACCACAAAAAGCATACCAGAAATCACCTAATGCATACTATAAATCGCCTAAAACATATAAGAAACCTCATAAAGCAACCCACAAATATTTCTAAAGCTCACCAGAAACCTTCTTATGGAAACCACAAAAGTGATAAAACAAACCACAAAAAGTATACCAGAAACATCCTAATGCATACCACAAATCCACTAAAACATACTAGAAACCCCACAAAGCAAAACACAAATCCATTAAAAAAAATAAAAAATTCCACAAATCAAATCATAAAATTTTCGAAAGCACACCATAAACTTCTTAATGCAAACCAGAAACACAATAAAGCAAACCGGAAACCTCCTAAGGCATACCACAAATTCCCTAAATCAAACCACAAACCTCACAAAGCAAACCACAACATATGCGAAAGCACACCAGAAACCTCCTAATGTAAACCACAAACACAGTAAATCAAACCACAAAAAAGTAAACCGAAAACGTCCTAATGCAGACCACAAAAATATTAAAACAAACCAGAAACCCCTCAAAGCAAACCACAAAATTTTTGAAAGCACACCAGAAACTTCTCAATGCAAACTAGAAACACGATAAAGCAAACCACAAAACGCACACAAAAATATGAGAAACCAAACCACAATCTCACAATGCAGAGCATAACATCCGGTGGTCGTTGACCGGTCAATGAAGTTCGTTGACCAAACTCCGATGACCGTCAGTGAGCAGATTCCGACGACGATAGGCATATTCTGGCCCCGATGACTAGATTCCGACACCGGTAAGCATATTCCAACCACAGTGAGCATATTCCGGCGATGGTGAGCATATTCCGGCGACAAAATAGCATATTCTGGCGATAAAAAGCATATTCCGGTGACTGGCGATCAGTTTCCGACGACCAAAATTTTGGCAGAAAATAAAAAATATTTATTAGTTATTATTATTTAAACATATTTTTGATAATGACAATTATACTCCTGCTTTGATTTTATACTATGTCAACTCCGTTAGTCATCACAACCCTAGCTTCCTATTGATTGGAGATTAGTGTTGTTACAATAACAACACAAGGGGTGTTATCACACTATCTAGTCCCTTCGTTAGGGATTTAACAACGTTGATTATTGCTTTCTGGAGCGACGTGTCGCCCATCACAAAATAAAGAAGATACCTGAGGCCTGAGGGTCCTCTTTGTTTCTGACATCCTCGTGAGTCGTGATGCCCCCAGCTGCGGTGTTTGTTTTTTTAGACAAATTTCATTTCATGGCCAAAAGGAAGAGGAAAAAACCTTTGCGGCTTACCTTCTCGAGCTCCCTATTTTCAGAAAGGTTTTCTCCACAGAATTGCACTAATTCATGTTCCCATGACACTCAGATTTTTTTTTTATAACATCAATAATTATTCGTTCAGCTACCTCTTCTGCATACATTTGGACTATCTAGAGATTAATTAGTAAACAAGTAGTGAGTTATAGGTATAATATGCCCCTTTATTTTGATGTTTTATCAAACATGCATCTTTTCTATTTTTTTTTACATCATACATGCCCCTTTACTTTGTAAAAATTATAAAAAAATGCACTTTTGTTAAAATTTTCATCCAAAAACCGTTAACCACGCCGAACTTTGGTTTGGGCGACACAAATGTCTACAATTTCTCTAATAATTTCACTTTAGAATTTTTTGGTTCTTTTGTAATAGCCAAATCATTCAATTAATTTTCACTTTGAAGAGACCCAAAGAAATAAAACGGGGGACAAAACTGATATTTTCCCTCCCATTTGCCGATGTCGGGTTGTCTAAATCTCAATTCAACCATGATTGATGATTTTTTCATTGGAAATTTTAGCAGAAGGGCATGTTTGATCATTTTTGAAAAGTTCAGGGACATGTTTGATGTAAAAACTAGTAAATGGGCATGTTTGATAAAACGTAATAATAGAGGGGCATATTATACCTATAACTCAAAAGTAATTTGAAAAATCCAGGTAAGTTTTGGGTTGTGGTTTAGTTTTAGCAGGTTTTTAAACTGCTAACATGAAGAAGGAATAATTGTTCTTTGGGGAGAAATCATGAAGAAACAAATGACTGTTGATGAAGGTAATTGTATTTGGGATCTTGTGCCAGTGTGCCTGCTTTGAGGTTTCATAAAATATCACATCACAAGTTGATTGATTGATTGGGCCTTAAAAGATGCATCTAGAATCTAGATTGAGATTGGGAACATGAACATTCACTTGGTTGGGAGTGTAAAGTTGATTATGGAAGAACTATTTATACGTCGTTTGTAATGTATATTGTGTAAATATTGTAATTCTAGGCAATTATCACGTTTCTCAATACCTAGTATTTAACCTGTGGTATTCCATCAAATATGAGTTTGAATAGAATTAGAAAGTGTGGTATAATGGACTAGTGGTTGTGGCATTTCTTTTCCCCCAATCAAATATAGCATTTGTGCCCACATCCCACATTATGTGAGAATCAATTCCAAATACTACACTAAGCATTTCAAACAACGTTAGACTCACAACCAAATGCCTAGTCGTTCGCAGTCTTCTAATAGTGGTTTTTGCAAAGCAGTAATGACCACTCATTCAACATAATTGATGTCAAAATTTCTCTCCACGACATAATCGATTGTAAGTAGAAAAATAATTTATACGACTTACCAACTATTCTCCGAGCCGTTCTAAACGGACTCTCAATTTGATGACGTAAAATATACTAGCAAAAGCCCGTTCGCTATCGCTTCGTGTATCTGAAAAAAAAATATTTTAAAGAGTAATAGTTTTAATGTTTACCCAAAAGTGAAAATAATCTTATTTCATTCTTTTCATAGGTTTGTTATTTACAATAGCATATGGCCGATGAATTTTCATAAGGTAGAAGGGTCGTCGAATATATTATTTATATTTAAATCTTTTATGACGCTGACATTTTAATTTGTATGGCTAGTAGTTGATCATGCTGTAACTTTTGCAGAATGAAGCTGCTTCTCTGAATCTTTTCAAGAAGTATTTGGAAAAAATTATTGAGTGTTTAGCTGAAAAGCTATCAGAATTATTTTCTAATATAAGAGGTAATGAAAAGTGACTAAAAATATTTCTAACATAAAATTTGAACAAAAATTCTAAAATAAAGTATTTAATATGGATCACGTTAGATTTATTTCATATTAAATAATATTATTTTTCAATTTATTTTTTATAGTGAAATAAATGAAAGAAAATTATGGTTTCTAGAAAAAGAATAATATATGGTAAGAACAATTTTGTATTTTCAAATCGGAGCTTCTGCTTTGAAGTTACGAAAAACTTCAGTTTTTTAAAAAGCAAAACTTTAGAAGTGTTTGGCTTGACTTCAACTTTTGAAACATAAAACTTCTAAAATTCGGGCCAAACATAGTCGTACTCTTATGATTTTTTTGGGTTTGAGAAAATCGTGGTTCTCCTTTATGAATTTTTAGACTGATTGCAGGTTTGAGAAGGTTCAACTCGCATTGATCGGGTCAAATTAGATTGGATACCTATGGATTTGGGTTCAATTGTCTTTCTCAAACAAAAGGAAAAAACAAAATGAAAAACACTAAATCTAAAACTCTCTATGGACTCAAAACTCGTCAACACTAGGTTCAACTAGGTTTGACCTTGTTGGACCGAGTTTTGGACAAATTCACACATGACACAACACACCAATTACAAAAGCAGTCACTCCGGCCGAAACCTATAAAATCAGGTTCAAGTCGCTTTGGTTGAGTCGAGTAATTAGGTTGTATACCAATGCGTTTGGACTCAATTGTCATTCTCAACCAAAAGAAAAAATATAAAAAAATACTAAAGCGAATAAAACTCGCTCATGACCCAAAAAAAAGGAAAAAGTGAAAATAAAAAACCACTAAACCGAACGAAACTCGATCCCGATACAAAACTCACCAACATTGACTAGATATGATATGGATTTTCGGTAGTGACATTAGGTTTAGTTGTGATCATGCTCAACAAAAAGGAAAAAGAGAAAGAAAAAACACTAAAAATGACGAAACTCGGTCCCGATACAAAACTCGTGGTAGTGGCCTTGGAAAACGATGGTGGGGAACAACCTAGGATTCCGCCGACAGTATTTTGAGATGAGCTGCAAAATGGTGGCCAAAGGCGATCATTTGCGTTCAAGTTAGGATACCCATGTGTTTTGGTTCAATTGTGATCATGCTGAACAAAAAGGAAAAAAGAAAGAAAAAGCACTAAAGAGGATGAAACTCGGTCCCGATACAAAACTCGTGGTAGCTGCATTGGAAAATGGTGGTGGGGAACAATAACTATTTAGGATTCCGTCGATAGTATTTTGAGATGAGGTGCAAAATGGTGGGCAAAGGCAATGATTTGTGTAAAAAGCCATAGATGAAAACCTAGCGAACAATAACTAAACACAAAGGTGATAATTTGTGCAAAAAGTCATAGACGAAAACCTAGCGAACAATAACAAAACACAAAGGCGATGATTTGTGCAAAAAGCCATAGACGAAAACCTACCGACATGAGCTTCCTCAGCCCTCTGGATTGTGAAACCAGGGGGTATTTTTGGGTTCCCCCTGTTGCTCCACCCCTCTCCTCCGCCCAGCTGCTTCCAACCTCTTCACTCCTTCGATACAACCCTCTTCCCTGTTTCTTGATTGAGAAGCAGAGCTTCTATGAGGCGAGTCAACCCCCGCCTTGAGAGTCGCTGTGTAGACCTCCGACAGGTAGGCTACGCTGTTCTTCTTTCTCTCCTCGTTCATTCTCCTACAAGTCGGCCAGTTATGCCCGATTCTGCCACAAAAGTAGCACAGCTCCACCAATCTCTCGTATTTGAAATCAATAACCTCGCAGTGCTCCACTCCTGAGGATTCATCAAGAAAAGGAAAATCGAACCCTGTTGGAACAGGCTCCCTGATGTCCACCTCGACCAGAATGCGAAGGAACCTCCTGTATCCTGTGTACTCCAAGCTTGCTCTGTCCAGGTCCAGCAGCCCCAAGAAGTAGCTCGAGCCAATAGTCACCATATTCTCCTCGTTCCTTTGATTTTGATGTAGCCCATGGATTTGAACCCACGTTGCCATCTTCTCGATCGCGACATCTTCAGGCTTCCCTCTTCCATTATACCTTTCAATCGCCGTCAGTGTGTTAGACAAGCTCCAGGGCCTGTCCCTCCAGATCTTGTCTCTGATCTCGGCGTTGCTGAATGTGAATAAGAAAAGATTCCGGGTTTCAGTGGGCTGGATGTTGACTTCTCCATAGCAGCCCCACGCGTATCGAGCTTCTCCAGCCCCCTTTGCCTTTGCCACTGCTACTTTGCTTTCTGTTAACATCTTCCCCAGCAGCATGGACATTCCTCTTCCACCAGTCGAGGACAGGACAAGGCGCCCCCCTTGCCCCTGGATGCTGTCGGGACCAGGCTCTCCTTCCTTTGGTTGTTGGTTGCTTCATTTGTGATGGATTCCATTGATAGGTACAGTAGTTTGGTTTGAGATTGAGGGTTTTCCTTCTCACGAAAAGAGGGATTTGTGATCTGAAGGAAACATAGAGAAAAGGTAGCAGACAGAGGATTGTGCGCACAACCTTCTCTTCCCCAATCTCTCCTCCCTTTATTTCTTCTTCCATTCCTGTTCGCCTATCTTTCCTCTTGATTGCGGTAGCTATCCTTCTTGTCAATCCCTTCATAATTTCCCTGGAGACTAACCAGAGTTTTCCCCTGTTTTTCCGCTGCCAGAACATGGGCTCTTGGCTCAATGTTGCCTCTAGTTTGATCGATGTAGATTGTATTGTCACTGATCACAGATTTTGCAATTGATTTAGCCCCTTTTCATTCACTTCTCCTTCCTATGCTTTGGCTGGTGGAGACTTTATTGCCGCCGTCTGGAGGTTTCCACACTTCCCTCTTCTTAATGCCTTCTTTACTTTCTTTTCCAGGTAGTCCAATCAGCAGAAGAAACTTCCCTGCCCCTGGAATAATGGTTCTCCCACCAACAATTTGGGGAACAGAAGGTTTGGGATGATTAATGGTGATTGAGATTAACCACTGATGGCTCTTTGTTAGAGCTAGAGAAGTCCCAGTTTGGGGGACGGGAAAAGAACCGTTGTTTGGTTCAGAGAAGATGACCTTTAGAGAGAGAAGTGAGACATGTTTTTTAGTTACGGAGGCTTTTTCATGAAAACGATGAATCCAATGGTTGTGAATTGTGATGTAGTTTTCTCCCCCTACAAGTTTATTTGATAAAATTAAAGAGAAAGAAGGGATCGAGAATTTCCCATTATAATTTCTTCTCTATTAGGAAATGGCGTACATCAGCATCTTCTTCTTCTTCGATTGTCGCAACGCTCTCTTCTGCAATGGTCGGACCCCCGCTCTGCAAATCTTAGCCGCGCCAGCAGATGACTCACAGAATCCCCATTTCTGTCTCCTTCTCTCTCTCTCTCTCTCTCTCCCAAATCTGAAGGTCTCTCAAAAGATCTTCGGTTTGGTAAATTTTGCAGCAGAGAGGAACCAGCTGGCCTGCCTGCTGATACGTAACGTACTCATATATTTTACATTTTTGTATTGTTTAATTCTTTTTCACTGTTTCAGTCTGTGGAGTCAATTGTTCTTCTTCTTCTTCTTCTTCCTCTTTCAATTACAAGTACTGAACAGTGAACACTAACAAACCCTTCTCTCTTGTCAATTTTTACTTGCTCTGTTTTCAATTGTATTTATTTATATATAAAAACCTGCCTTTTCTTCTTGGGGGGTTCTGTTTTCACTTTCCAGTGGCCATGCATGACAAGTAGCCTAGCTAGGTAAGGTAGGTACGTTTTTAGGGTTTTTGTTTGCAGCTGACTTAGCTCATTTTCCATTGTACAGAGCTAGCTGAGCTACTTGAATTTTGAAGGTATATATCAGTTGTACTGCAAAAAACAGGGGGTTCAATTTATTTTGCCAATTTCATTTATTATGATTATTTTCGTATTTATCATTCTGATTCGAAATATCTTAAAAAAAAAAAAAAATCCGTAGTGGTACTGGGATTGAGGTTTGACTAGCAGATAGGAAACCAAGATTTTACATCCCCAATCCGCCATGTCTGAATCTAGAATTGAGGTCACTACTCTAGTCTATGGAATGGGCCGAGGAAAATGACCATAGAGGTACACCACCACCACCCATGACCATGTCATCAGTACCCTGCTGATGTTATAAGCAAATCCAAGGGACAATGTCCTTCATTATTGCTATATGGAAACTAACTTTTTACTGGGCCCGTCGGCGGGAGAATTTATATCAATTAATTTATCTATATGTTTAAAACTTTGTTATCTTCTAATTTTTGTATGCTCTCGCTTAATAAGTGAGTATGTGATATGGTTATATTAAAAATTCTTAAAATTTAGCATACTTTCCTATGATACTTCGATTCTCTAACATATGGATGCCATCGTAACTTGCACTTTTAGGTCGACCTCATATAGGATTAGATCGACCTAATATGCACTTTTAGGTTGACCTTATATAGGATTAGGACGACCTAATAAGCCGTTTCAGTTTTGTGAGGTTCCCGAATACACTAATGTGGGCAGCCTGATGACTTATCACGGTCAGCCTTTAAAATGTAGTGGTCGACCGTTAGTAGTTTAAGTTGTCATTGTTGGTCAACCACAATAAAACATCTGTCGCCCTTTTCATTGACGTCAGAAGCAAAATGATTGACCATAAATGTATATAGGTCGACCACTTGATGACGGTCATCAACAAAATGGTCGACCATTTATAGAAATAGGTCGACCAGATAGAAGAGAAGTGTTGTAACCATTTATCCATCATCATTTGACATAAAATGAAGATCAAGTGTTGGTTTCGCGGTCGACCTAATCCAGTACGAGGTCGATCGAATACAAGAAAATTAAACTATGCTCTGCATCTTTTTTTGCTTATGTATGTCGATGTGGGTGGTTCTTTTGCTCGTACAAATTACGTTTCAAACCAACAAAATCAATCCTAAATAATTTTAACAAGGACTCATAACTTCCATGTGGCCGACCTCTTGAATCACGTACAGCAGCAACCGCAAAGGATCTTCTTCACAAAAGCTCTAACCGTAAATAAAAAACCTAATTCAGAGTTTCGGTGGCGGTAAAGGTGACATATATTCATATTTATAGATACTAGATGGCGAAGCCGCGCCTTGCGCGTGCCGAGATGGCCTGTGGGCATGTATTATGTGGCCTGTTATGATGTTTTGTTAGTATTATTAGTCGAAAATTAATTTTTTGTTAGCAATTTTGTTAGGAATATTGACTTGACAATATGATATTGACTAAGAAGAGATATATGACAGTCAGCATCCAATTTAATTTTTTTTTGAAAATTTTGGCTAATAAATGATATTTACCTAAACCCAAGTAGACTCATTGATTATGGGTAGGGTATGGCAGGGGCGAATTTTTGGGATAACGATTATCCAACCCCCGGTAGTAGTTTTCGTGTGGATAAAAAATATAAGTGGTAGACTATGATGTAAATTAGGATACTAAGATTATTAGTAAACATGTTTTTCATTAGACCACAACTCATTTGTTATTGTATTTTAAACACTAGTTTAATTGTAAAATTGATATTCCTTCTCCCAATTATTTTGAAAATCTAACAATTGAACCTGATTACGAGTTATCCTTATTCCCTCCATTCTATCATATCCATTGGTTTACTTGCTTCTCAAAGTAATTGATTTTACTGATTGCAACTGTAGTGTTAAAATAACATATTTAGTTTTGGAAACTTTAAGAACAAGTTTCGAAATTGATTAAATGATCAGTTTGTGAATGATTGTATAGTAAGATGGAGATATGTGTTGAGCCGTCCAGACACTGAGTATATTTTGTAACACGCCATAGACTTTTGTTGTAACTTGTATTAGTTAGATATTTTCTAATTTAAAATTATTTAATTATTTATTTAATTAGGCGGAGGCTAAAATTCCAAAATTTAAATTAGGGGTAGGGTATGGATATTTACAAAAAGTATACATATTTCCAGAACTTCAAAAGTTTAGGCACCAAAATGTCATACACAAAAATTTTAGATACTAAAATGTAATGTTCCATCAATATACTTGATGTTTAATTCCTTTATGGTGATGTATTTAAGATAATAATTATTTACTTTTATACAGAAAAATGGAAACTATTTGATATATGTAGATACCTAGCCAAACATTCCATGTATAATTGTTGAAAATTCTAGCTCGGGTGAAAAAGAAAAACTCTAGGGAGAAGCAAAATGAATACAAACTGGAACTCGTTTGAAATTTCATGCCTTCAAATCCCATAGTGGAAAATGATTACTTTTCTAATAAATAATAACCACATACATTTATTTTTAATTTAGCTGATAAGTGAGTGGTTCATGGTTCAATTATTAATTCTCTAGACTGTTGGTAAGTCGTGTATGGACCCGTTCATACTTGTGATTAGAATACATAAAAATTGTATACTAATTAGGGTTAGACGAAGAAGGTAAAGAAAGAAATAAAGAAAGGGTTATTGCAGGCGAGTGAAAAATGAAACGAAGAGTAAGTAGATAATGGAAAGGTTTTCACCAATTCTTTTAGCTGGCCGTCAATACAACATTCAACCATTTTCACCGTAGCAATTTATTGACACTTGCTTATGTAGATGTCGGTTATTTTGTTACATGTAGTTAGTAAAAGTTTGTTTAGTACCCCGTAAATGTACTAAATGAGTTTATAAAATCGCTTTTGCAATATTTTAGAATCGTCTCTCTTTTATCATTTATTTAATGTTTCACGTAATGAGCAAATATAAAATAGCCGAATCTTCTTCTACAATTGAGTGATACAACATCTTGTATGATACAAACTAAATTTATATTTTTTGTATGGTGGATTGGATTCATGGATTGATTCAAAAGGATAGGTTGATTGTATTCATGGATTCAAGTGGAATCTAAATAGTGGACCAATATGTAAACTTAAAAAAATTGTAGGTACAAAAAGCTCGTAAAATTTAGATATCTAAACATAATTGTTCAATAGTTTTACATTAAAATTAAATTTGGGGTATCAAAATGTAAAATATACATTATAGTGACTAAGTTGTAATTTAATTAAATTTGGGATATAAAAATGTAAAATGTACTACTGCCCAATCAACTTGCGAGTTTTGGCAACAGTAACTGAACTTCTTCTTTATATATATTAATTTAGGACGAGAATGGGTCGAATTAAGTGGTAGATAAGTTAGGGTTACCTTTCTGGTGTTGGAATCCTTATCCAATACGAATATGGTGTGCACACGGTCGACCTCGTACTTATGCAGTCGACCTCAGTTAATCAAAATGGTCGACATATCATTCTGTTCGCTTCCCAAAGAGGCCGACCATTTGCTATAAAAGGTCAACCGCGTCGTTGAACCTCACAAAATTGAAACGACATATTAGGTCGACCTAATCCTATATAAGGTCGACCTAAAAGTGCAAATTAGGTCGACCTAATTCTATATGAGGTCGACCTAAAAGTGCAACTTATGGTGACATGCATGTCACCGTAGCAAAGTCCTAAATCATATTGTGAAAGTTTATCACATCCTATTTAGAATAGTATATAAAATTTTGTCAACGAAGGCACTCAATTTATTATCTTATAAAACATATAACAATTCATGATTCTTGAGCTAGGACAAATTCTTAACCAATTAAGAGTTCAGATTATTCGATAAAGATACTTAATTAGTTGATAAATTGTGTTTATCCCAAGTGAAACTTGACACACACCGTACCCCTTTACGATGACAACTTCTCTAATCTTGACTCCTTTTCATGTGAATGTTCATTAAGTATTAGCTGAAGATCTTATGTCAAAATTTGTTTATCAGGACACTCCAATTTAGTATCTTATACAATATAGTAAATACAATTCATAAGTCAAAAATTTCAAATTATTAGCCAAACCTTTCAAAATATAAAGCATTAGCCAAACGTTAACTCCGCGTTAGCCTTTTTGTTAGTAATATTGACTCAACAACATGATGATGAGTTGGAGGAGACACGTAATAGTCAATATTCCAAACTTTAGTATTTTAATTAAGAGAAGAGTTACAAAATTATTAAAGATAACAGTCAAATGGTTAATATTTTGGTGTGATACAAAATATTTGAATATCTTTTGTATTTCGAAAGGTTACGGCTAATAAATTGAAAATTTTGAAAGGTTTGGGTATCAAATTTTATTTACTCAATATGTACCAATTACTAATTCTTGAAGTTTGGACTAACCCAACCCATGATTGTTAGGTCGACCTCATTAACTAACTTTTTTATTTATAAACAAATTGTCCACCTCTTGTAAATTCTCAACATGCTTATGTGGCTCGAAGTTGTTACGAAGGCTGTTTTCTGGCAGCTTGCTTGTGCTCGAAGTCTGCCATAAAAACCGTCTTCGTAGCAATTTCGACCCTTTTGTTTGAAGCTTTACAGATATCCAATCTTTCATCCAATGCCTTGAATTTGTATAAAAACATATCTAATTTAACGTGGTTGAGGCCGCTGGACTCGACTAGCATTCATGCTTCTCGAATTGAGCTCCAAAGTAGGCTTCACAAACACGTTTCCAGACTTAGCCATTTTCAGGCAGTTTGCCAGTATTGGCATTGCCTTTTGATCAGGTTAAAAAATGGTATTGTGAACTTCCTACCGAGCTCTCAATCGCTTCAATATGTAGATGGACACTCCAGCTTCAAAACAAGCCATTAATCTTCAATTTCCATATAGCCAATTGTATGATATGAATCTCCAAAGTAGGCACCATGAAACAGTTTTTACAGTAAAACAACAGATTAGGTCGACCTAATCCTAAATGAGGTCGACCTAATTCTAATTGAGGTCGACCGAAAAGTGCAAGTTATCGTGACATACATTTCACGTAGGCGCACCCCTAGTAGCTAGAGTTATAATGTAAATGAGACCGCTAAAACTTGCAATAGCACGCCTAGAGTAATGCCAAAAATTGACAATCCAAGAGTGAATATACCAGAGAGGGTGTGTTAGAAACGTGACTTTTTGGTTGTTTTGTTATTTAGACGATTTTGTTGGTTTGTTTATATTTTGAGACTTTGGAGTTTGGATGCATTTAGGGTGTTCTTTGGGAGTGATTCATGATATAGGTTAAAGTATAGGTGGTTAGAGAATTAGTCAGGCTTATATTATGTAATTGTAAAAACTTTTATCATCAAACAAATACAAAACAAAATGACAAAATATATTTTCATAGCCACAACTTTCACATTTATTACAAATATAGTCATAACTATCGAAACATACAAAATAACTTTAGGGTTTCGGGAGACCCATTCAAATCGGTGTGTAACAACCCAGGTAGCCAGCTGGCAAGGTGACGTGGCCACAGGAGACGTGTATAAATAGAGAGAGAGAGTCTGTATGATTGGATTATGCTTTGGCCAACTATTCTGTTAGAACTACTTTACCAATTCTAGATTTAGTAATAAAACAACTCTCTGTTCGTCTCCATTCTTTCCCTTCTTTCCCCCCGAATCTCCCAAATTCGCCAGAGAATCCCCACACGATCCTTACAAAGTGGTATCAGAGCCTTCTCTCTGGCCATGGCGACGCACACTTCTCGTATTGTGGATCTCGAAACGCAGATGGCGGAGGTACGTGTTTAGATCAACACGCAACACCAGGAGCTGAAGGACGCGATTGCGGCGTTGGCAGCTTCGATGAAAGATAACATTGATGCACTGGCGGTGTCCATAGCCCTCCGGGACAAGTCGCCGGCTCGTTCTCCGCCGCGAGCTGACGCCGGTCCGTTTGCCGAGCCTCATTTCTTCAGGCAGCAACGCCGATCGACGATTCTCGATCATTATCCTCGCCTTGAGTTTTCTCATTTTTCTGGTACCGATCCTCACGCTTGGGTTAGCCGATGAGCTAAGTTTTTCCAGCTCTATTCAATTCCAGAGGATCAGAAGGTCGATCTTGTGTCCTATTACCTAGAGGGACGAGCTTAAACTTGGTTCGAAGGCTGGTCGTATGGACGTTTTCCGTTGATTTGGGGGCACTTCATCGACAAGTTATTTGGCCGTTTTGACAAGCAAGAGCAGACGAATGTGGTTGTGTCCTTCAATCATCTTCGTCAGACGGGGACAGTTTCTCGCTATCAGGAAGAGTTTGAGGAGCTGTGTTCTCGGATACTCCGTCTCAATCCAGCTCTCAATGAGCATTATTTCATCCTCAGTTTTCTGGGAGGCTTGGACGAGGAGATCCAACCACGGGTTCAGGTTCTCAATCCTCCTACTTTGGCGTGTGCTTTTTATCAAGCTCGATTGGAGGAAGCCGCCATAGAGGGACGGAAGAGGAAGAGTCGTGTTTCTTCTTCCAATCGTTGGAGCGGTTCGTCATCATCCATTCTGCCTAAAGCCGCATCTCTTCCCCCGACGTCTCTAGCATCAGAGCGCCCTTCTGTACCTCGCGGGGCAGGTCTTTGCTACAGGTGCGGTGACAAGTATTTCCACGGCCATGTGTGTGCGAAGAAGCAGCTCCAAGTGATGCAGGCTGAGGAATCGGGTTTGCCAAGTGAGACTGAGGAGCCTGATGATGAGTATCACGACGCGGAGTCGGAAGTTTCTTTGCAGTCCATGGGTTCCGGATTTGCTGGGAATTCATTACTCATTCCCGCCACTGCAGGCAGCAAAGAGGTAACAATTCTGATTGACACTGGTAGTTCTCACACATTTCTGAACTCACTTAGGGCTGAAGAATTGAATTGTGTGACCGAGAGCATTGCTCCTATGAGAGTCAAGGTAGCTAGTGGCCATACACTTCTTAGCACTGCTGTTTGTAGGGGTTTCAGTTGGCAAAGGCAGGGGCAGAATTTCGGTTTTGATGTGAGAATGCTGGACTTGCCTTCTCATGATTTGGTTCTGGGTTGGGATTGGCTGGAAACGATAAGTCCATTCCAGATGGATCTCAAGAAAAGGCAACTGTCTTTTGAATGGAAAAGGGGGTACTATGTGCTTGCAGGGTCTTTCTAAGGAAGGGCAGTGCAGAATGCTCAGTGGTAAACAATTCCAGCAGCTCTTTAAAGACCCTTTGTCCCACTTGGTTGGAGCTGTTTTTGCTATCGAAGCTGACCCAGATATCAGCCCTACTCCCCCATTTTTGCAGCCACTTTTGGACTCCTATTCGGGCGTGTTTGCTGCCCCATCTTCTCTACCTCCACCCCGAGAATTTTAACACACTATACCCCTGCTGCCCTCTTCTAAACCTATAAACATCCATCCTTACCGCTTCCCACACCATCAAAAGGCTGTAGCAGAGAAATTAGTCTCCGAAATGATGCAATCCGAGTTCATACAGCCCAGCCACAGCCCCTATGCTAGGGGTGGGCAACGGGAAACGGGTATTTGGGTATACCCGTACCCGTCCCATTTTTTAAGGGTTACGGGTACCCATATTACCCGTAATATTTTAAACGGATGGGACTTGGGATTGTACAGTCCTAATATGGGTACCCGCGGGTTACCCGCGAATACCCGTTTGGGTAATATGGGTACCCGTTGTACCCATTCAAATTACAAAGACAGTATCATGGAAAGTGTAAGCATTGCCTAAAGAAAAAGGGGGCTAGGGTTCAAATTAAAGACATGAAAAGTTGGTATACTGCTTGTGTAATCAGACACATAACGGCTAGCTTAGCATCATTGATTGAGTTAAGGAAAACATACTATGAGAAATATATGCTTCATTTTGGCAGGTGAGTATCCCATGATCTTGGGCTTAAGAATAAAATCCTCCAAATCAGGGCTCTGTTGAGGGTACTTCATATGTTGGGGACAAGTAGTCAGTGAGGAAAGTGTGGGAGCAACCTAAGGCCACGAAGTAATAAAACCCTTCGGTGATACAGTGGGAAAATGGCAGTGGGTTTGCCTTTGGGATGTAATTGTCTTTAGATAAAACGTCATCAGGGTTTAGGGACATGTTTTGAAATGAATGCTTGTGTATATTAAGATTTAATTTATGTTTTTATCATATCGTGTTCTTATTATTCCCCGCAAGAGCATGTTATTATTAAGATATATAATGTGATGTCATTTAAACTTTGGGTATTTATGGGTAGTATGGGTACTCGTTATCCGTCCCGTATGGGTAATGGGTACCCGTTTCCCATATAGGTTTGGAATATGGGATGGACTTTGGTATCCAAATGGGAATGGGTACCCGTTTAAAATGGGACGGGTATCCCGTCCCATCCCGTTGCCCACCCCGACCCTATGCATCCCATGTTCTGTTGATAGGCAAGAAAGACGCACTTGGCGTTTCAGTGTTGATTATAGAGAATTAAACGCCACCACCATTAAAGATAAGTTTCCCATCCCCCATATCGAGGATCTGCTGGATGAATTGCACGGCTCGGTCATATTTTCCAAGTTGGATTTACAAGCAGGGTATCATCAAATTAGGATGAACCCGGATGATCAGTTTAAAACAACCTTCGCACTCATCAGGGCCATTACGAGTTTCGTGTAATGCCGTTTGGCCTTACAAACGCACCAGCTACTTTTCAAGCTTTTATGAACCATGTCTTTGGTAAATATCTGCGGCAGTTTATTCTCGTCTTCTTCGACGATATCTTGGTTTACAGCAGGTCGGAGCAAGAGCATTTACACCATTTGGAAGTTGCTTTGCAGTTGCTGCGGGAACATCAGCTGTATGCTAAAGCATCCAAGTGTGCTTTCGGGCAGTCCAAGGTCGAGTATCTCAGTCATTTGATCAGTAAAGAGGGAGTGGCAACGGATCCGAAGAATGTTTCAGCAATGAAGAATTGGCCTCGTCCTTTAACTGTCAAGCAACTACGGGGATTTTTGGGCCTCACAGGCTACTACAGGAAGTTCATTCGCAACTATGGAGCGATTAGTCGTCCATTGACTGAGCTACTGAAAAAGAATGGGTTCCAATGGACTCCAGAAGCTGAGTTTGCTTTTGAAAAATTCAAGCAGGTGATGTGTGAGGCACCAGTGCTGGCGATGCCCAACTTCACTCTCCCTTTCACACTTGAAACAGATGCGTGTGGAACTGGAGTGGGGGCTGTATTGTTGCAAGGGGGCCGGCCTTTGGCATTTTTCAGCAAGTCTTTGGGAGTTCGAAATCAGGGGTTGAGCACTTACGAGAAAGAATACCTGGCTGTACTCTTGGCGGTCGATCATTGGCGGCATTACCGCGAAGGGCGTCCTTTTACTATCGTCACGGATCATGAAAGTCTCAAGTTCTTGTTGGGACAAAAAGTGCACACTGCCATTCAAAAAAAGGGTCTAGTTAAGCTCATGGGTTTGGACTTTCAGATTAAGTATCGGAAGGGGAAGTTTAACGGGGCTTCCGATGCGTTGTCACGGGTCTTTGAAGTTGTTGGGCAGGAGCTTGGGGGGAGTTGCAATGCTGTTATTATGGTTTTACCAGAATGGCTGGTCGAGGTTGAATAAACTTATGTAGGAGACTCGGAAGTGGCTGCTTGGATTACAGCTGCTGCTGTTAATTCCCTTGGTCCATCTCTCTGGTCTTACTCTGCTGGGGTGTTGAGATATAAAGGCGCCATTGTGATTGGGAAAACAGGGGGAATGCAATCCAAGTTGCTGCACTTGTTTCACTCTTCTCCAGTTGGTGGGCATTCGGGGGCACAAGTTACTTACCAGCGCCTTCGAGCTCACTTTTATTGGAGAGGAATGAAGTCAGACGTGGTTACTTGGGTTTCTCGCTGTGATGTTTGTCAACGATGTAAAACAGAAACTGTTGCTTCACCTGGATTGCTTTAGCCACTCCCCGTTCCTACTCGAGCTTGGCGGGATGTGAGTATGGATTTTATAGAGGGATTGCCTACTTCGAACGGCAAACAGGTTCTCCTAGTGGTGGTGGATCGTTTTACAAAGGTTGCTCATTTTTTCAGCCTCAAGCATCCTTATTCTGCTGCTGTCGTGGCTCAGATCTTCTTCGATGGAGTTTTTAAATACCACGGGATGCCGTCAACCATTGTATGTGATCGGGATGCGACTTTTACCAGTCAATTTTGGACAGAGTTTTTCCGATTACAGCACACGGACATCCACTATTCGACGGCGTATCATCCGCAAACGGATGGCCAGACAGAGCGTGTGAATCGATATCTTGAGGATTACCTTGGTTGCATGACTTTTCATCGACCGCAAGATTGGGACGAGTGGTTAACTTTGGCGGAATGGTGCTATAACACTCATCACCATCTCAGTTTGCAGATGACACCTTTCGAGGCCCTTTATGGGTTTCCTCCGTCCCACTTTGGTTTGAGTCCTTCTTCGAGTACGCCGGTGGGAGCTGTGGAGGACAGGACTAGGAAGCAACAACAGCTGGTACGATTCCTGACTGACAGCATCACGCGCGCCCAGAATCGCCAAAAACAGTACGCTGATCGAAGAAGGTCTGAAAGGGTGCTGCAGGATAAGGACTGGGTATATTTGCGGCTGCAACCTTACCGCCAGGGATCAGTTGTGGGGCGGCATGGTAACAAATTGGGAGCTAAGTACTTTGGTCCCTATCAGATCTTGGCGAGAGTTGGCGCAGTTGCTTATAAATTGGCTTTACCACCCCACTCGAAAGTCCACCCTGTCTTTCACGTTTCACAATTGAAGAAATGTCGCTCTACTGTGCCACCAGCAGCGGAGCATCTACCAGTCTCGGATGATATGGGAAGCTTGAAGTTGGAACCTGCTCAGATTTTGGCAAGGCGGTTCGTGAAGCAGCACAACAAAGCTGTTACTCAAGTGCTGGTTCAGTGGGTACATCCAGATCCCGAAGACGCTACGTGGGAGGATTTGTCTTCCTTCAAACAACAGTTTCC